AATACAATTTAAAAATAGCTGAAATTCAGAATTAAAAATAAGTAATATTGAAAGAAGTTTCCATATAATAACCCAATACAGGATTAATCAAAATTCAAAAAAAAAATAAAATCCAAAATTAGAAAAGAAAATGAGAGACCAAGTAGGAATACAATTTAAAAATAGCTGAAATTCGGAATAAAAGTAAATAAATCCAAAATTAGCAAAAGAAAATAAAAGAAGAGTCCAAGTAGGAATACAATTTAAAATTAGCTGAAATTCGAAATTAAAAATAAGAAATATTGAAAGAAGAATCCATATAAGAACCCAATACGAGATTAATTAAAATTTAGAATAAAAATAAAATAATATCTAAAATTAGAAAAACTAACATAGAGTTCAAGTAGAAATACAATTTTGAAACAACTGAAATTGAAAATAAAAAATAAAAACATTAAAATAACACAATACGATATTAACTAAATTTTTTTAAAAAAAATTATGAAATTAGAAAAAGAAAAATAAGATTTCAATTAGGAATACAATCTATAAATAACTAAAATTTGTGATAAAAATAAAGATTATTGAAAGAATAGACCATCTAAAACACATGACGAGATAAATTAAGTTACATGCCTATAATGGAGTAGAGTGGTGGCGGTTTATACGAGATATAAAAATTGTTAATAAAACACCAAATAGAATCCTAATGACGATTAAAAGGAGGGACGTCAGGCAGGCCGTGAAGCAAACGAGTAAGGCGGTTGCCGAGAGTTCTAGAAAGTAAGAAAAAAACAAATCCCATTGATAAGCATATTCAATTTTTAAAATCTCAATGACAATAAAAAGGAGAAGCAGTGGGCGGGGTGTATAAGAGTATAGTTGTAGAGCCGCTGACGGTTGACGGGACTTCTAGAAAATAAAAAATGAATTCCAACAATAGTTATATGTTCGATTTTTAGAATCACAATGACAATAAAGAGTTGGCGGTGGACGGGCTGTAGAGGGGCTTCCCGGGAGGAGACGGCGAAGGGACGCGCGTCCGCGGGAGGTCCGGGATGGGATGGCGAGGTGATGCCCGCGACATCGGATGGACGGCGACGGGACAGGGGATGACGAGGGTGATGTGGCGCCGTGTTTCCTGGAAGGAAACCGGAGCGAGAGCGGCTTGGCGCGATGCGGTTTTGGGACGGCGCGTGTGTTGGCGCGAGGAGCGGTACACGGGAAGGTGGCTCGGTGTATTGCGGCTCGGTCACGAGGCGAAAGTGGTGCGACGCTGGGTGAGACATTTCGTCGAACACCTTGCGTGCGTGAGCTGGCTGGCCTGAGGAGGAAGACAAACAGTGGCTGGGCTGAGCTGGGCCGGCCTGCTAATGGGAGGAGAAGAGAGGAGAGGATGGAGGGGAGTTGGGCCAGGAAAGAAAGAGAGGAGGAGGCCCAAATTGTACTGTGATATTTCACAATTATCTCAAGGATTTGGGGTTTGAAATTTGGGGAGATTTTTGGGAGGATTTGAATTTGAATCTGCCCTAGGGTTTCATGGAAATTTGAAGGAAATTCTAAGAGAGGATTGAGATCTAATTTGGCACAAAAACAATTAAGAACCAAACTAAACTCCAAATTTTAAATGACAAACTTTTAAATAAAAGCACATAAAATATGGGTGCTACAAACCTACCCCCTTAAAGAATCTCGGAATTAAAAATAAGAAATATTAAAAGAAGAGTCCATATAAGAACCCAATACGAAATTAATTAAAATTCGGAATAAAAATAAATAAATCCAAAATCAGCAAAAGAAAATAAAAGAAGAGTTCATGTAGGAATGCAATTTAAAATTAGCTGAAATTCGGAATTAAAAATAAGCAATATTGAAAGAAGAATCCATAAAAGATTAATTAAAATTTAGAATAAAAATAAAATAATGTCCAAAATTAGAAAAATTAAAAGAGAGTTCAAGTAGGAATACAATTTTAAAACAACTGAAATTGAAAATAAAAATAAAAACATTAAAATAACACAATACTGTATTAACTAATTTTTTAAAAAAATTCTAAAATTATAAAAAGAAAAATAAGATTTCAATTAGGAATAATAAGTACAATTTTTGATAAAAATAAAGATTATTGAAAGAAAAGACCATCTAAAACACATGACGAGATAAATTAAGTAACATGCCTATAAAGTAGTAGAGTGGTGGCGGTTGATACGACATATAAAAATTGTTAATAAAACACCAAATAGAATCCTAATGACGATTAAAAGGAGGGACGTCAGGCAGGCCGTGAATCAAACGAGCAAGGCGGTTGCCGAGGCTTCTATAAAGTAAATAAAACAAACCCTATTGATAATCATATTTGATTTTTAAAATCTCAATGACAATAAAAAGGAGAAGCAGCGGGCGGGGTGTATAAGAGTATAGTTGCAGAGCCGCCGACGGTTGACGGGACTTCTAGAAAATAAAAAATGAATTCCGACGATAGTTATGTTCGACTTTTAGAATCACAATGACAATAAAGAGTAGGCGGTGGACGAGCTGTAGAGGGCATAATGGCATCGTTTGATGGGACTTCTAAAAATTATAAAAAATAAAACTACATGTCCAATTTTTAAAGGTTCGGAACTACTAAAAAGTAAAAAAAAACAATGATAATCATATTCGATTTTAAAATCTCAATGACAATAAAGAAGGGAGGCAGCAGGCGAGCCGTAGAGGAGTGCACTGGCAAAGCCGCTGACAGTTTGGCGGGACTTCTAGAAAGTAAAAATGAACCCGAACGATAATTATGTTCGATTTTTAAAATCTCAATGACAATAAAGAGAAGACACAGTGGACGGGCCATAGAGGAGTATAATGGCAACCTTTGACGGGACATCTAGAAATTATAAAAATGAAATCCAACGTGATAATAAACTTTAAAAACTATAAAATTTAATTTTTAAAGGTTCCAAGAAGAATGAATAGAAATAGTGGTAGATCGAGCAAGCAAATAAAGAAGGAGATGACATAATGGGTAGCAACAGGTGTGACTTTTATAAACTATATAATTAGAAACACAAAGATGATAAGGTTTGGTCTTTCAAGGTCTTAAGACAATGAGATAGTTATTTAATAAATTTTAAGTAAAATCATAAAAAAATATATGATTTTGTTTGGGTGCTAGCCGCGCAATTGCGCGGGCCACTCAGCTAGTTGTTTACATTGTTCCGTGGATGTCAAATTTACTGCTAATGTACAACGTTGCATTATATAGACGTTTTAGCTTTCTGGTGAACTCTTGTTATTTCTAGGTCCACATGAGAATTCTGAACTTTCTGTTCCGGCTAATGGGGGAAAAACATAATTAATAAATAAATATGGGAAATGGTATATATGTCCTATTTAACACTGTTAACTCCTACATTTAAAATAGGGGTAAAAGTATCTTTCGGTTAAAAAAGTGGAAATAGGAGAAAAATCAATATTAGAGATAGTGAGGAAAAAGGAAATTGTCTCTAAGAATAACTGTTTGAGGTCAAACACACGTATAATAAATTCTGGGGCTGAGCAAGAAGGAAGGCCTTGAAGTCTGGCTGATCTCGGCCAGTCGCGCACAAACGGGCCATCTGCACTTGGCCGGACAAGACTGAAGATCACGTACCTCGATCGTCGCCATCTGCAGCTGAAGACGGACGCCACGTACTCGTCGAATCCGCATCGAGCCGAGCGTGTTCCTCTTTCTCCATCTCCATGATGAATAACACGACGATTCGAACATGGACCAGATTGTCTCAGCCTCGGCGAGAGCTCCGGCGCCGTGTCGTAAATACATCGAGTACCGGTATCAATGGCGCGCGGCGGCGCCGGCGGGCAGATAGATATACACAGTTCCTTCCATCTCGTTCACTGTTCTAGTGTTCTCAGAGCACTGGAGCCTCCTTCCTTGTCGTCGCCGGCGCGGCGATGATAGAGTGGTATGGGCAGGACATCGTGAAGTATCAGATGTTACGGCGGCGGCGGCGGCGGCGCGGCGCTCCGGCAACTCGACGAGGCACGACATGAGGCCGCGGTGGCGCTCTTGGGGGTTCGGAGTTTCAAACTCCGACTCCCCGTTGGGCTATCTGCGACCGTTTGATCAGGCGCGTGCGGCCTAGATAAGTGGGAAAATATGTAGTGCAAACCACATGCAGTGGAAACTTGGAAACTACCGTTGGATTAAGAAATGGACGTCCGAGAATCTTTATCTGCGAGTTAAATTTTAACTCATGGTGACGTGGACGAATCTCGGACGTCCATTTCTCGATCCAACGGTAGTTTCCAAGTTTCTACTACATATGTGGTTTGCACTACATATTTTCCTCAGATAAGTCAAATATTATTCACAGCATAATACTTGGGCCGAGGATGGCTGTTGGTCTGGGCTTCCAGTCACGCCAAAACGGCCCACAGAGTCCACTCATAGGATAGCTACCATTATTGTTCAGAGTTTCAGATACGAAAATACAAAGTCTACAAGTCAATGCAGTTATGTCAGATAAAGTTGATGCCGTGTGATTGGCGATGGCGATGGCGATGTTCTCGTCCTCTCCAGGGAGAATGGTTTGGGAGCTTGGAATCATCTGTTATCCACCTTGTCAATGCGTCTCAAAATCGATCAGCATCATCTTCAGAAATTCGCCAAAAACGTGTAAACAGATATGTGACCTTATAATAGCATTCCAGATCATACATACTTTATTAAAAAAAATTATTACTATGCAGAGCATCTGAATGACATAGCACACAGAACTACTTAGACCCTGTTTAGATGGGACTAAAACTTTTAAGTCCCTATCACATCAGATGTTTGAAAATTAATTATAAATATTAAACGTGGACTATTAATAAAACCCATCCATAATCTTGGACTAATTCACGAGACGAATCTATTAAGCCTAATTAATCCATGATTAGCCTATGTGATGCTACAGTAAACATTCTCTAATTATGGATTAATCAGGCTTAAAAAAAATTGTCTCGTAAATTAGCTTTCATTTATGTAATTAGTTTTATAAGTAGTCTATATTTAATACTATAAATTAGTGTCTAAATACAGGGACTAAAGTTAAGTCCCTGGATCCAAACACCACCTTAGTACAAAAATGAAGCAAACCTGACATACTACTAGACTTGACTACAGACACGGAGAACGCAATATTACATTACACAGTACAGTAGAGACTCGATTACACTACAACTGAACTCGATGAAGCTAGGAACGGTTAGATATATATCCAATCTAAATTTGATCAAGAAATTAATTAAACACAGCCGAGATAATATCCAAACCCATTCCGATGCTACCCCAAATGCATGATGAAGAAATCCATTATCCATGTGTTATGTGTATCATCACTTGGTCCATGGATTTCAGGATGCCCAAATATATGCAATGAAAATGAAGCTTTGATCCGTTCGGGAAATCATGCAGTACCCTTTGTACTTGATCTCGACCAGCTCTCGCCGGCGCCGCTACGATTCTTACGATTTCGCCACGGCGGCGCCGCCGCCACCGTCGCCATCACAGGTGGTGATGGATATATCAAGCACGAGCTGCGCCCCGCGCAGCCGCCGGAGCTCAGATGCTTGCATGGCTTCCTCCGTCCGTGGCTCACATCACGGAGCAGGAGGTGGGATCCTCCTCCATCGAGGGGTAGAATGGGACGCCGCCGCCGGCGCCGGCGCGGGGGCGAAACTGCGGCTGCTGCGGCGGCGGCGGCGGCCCGGCCGCCTTCTTGCCTCTCCTCCGTTTGCCTCCCTTCCCTCCGTTCTGCTGCTGCCCGCCGCCCTTGTTCCATCCACCATTGTTGTTGCCGTTCTTGCCGGTGTTGAAGATCTCCCGCTGCGACTGCGTCGACGAAACAATGGAGAAGAAGATTGGTCAGCTCAGCTCGATCAATTGGATAAAGAAAAAAACTAGGATTAGTTTGATGATTCATCATCCATGTGTCTTACTGAGTTGTTTGCGCGGCGTTGATTAGGTTGATCGCGAGAGCCAGCGGCGACGGCGAGCTTGTCGAGCTTCTTCTCGATGCGGCTGCCGTTCGCGGCCTGGCGGTCGATCTTCTCCTCGATGCGGACGCCATTGGCGGCCTGGAGGTCGACGAGGCAGTTGCTGATCCTGGCGTTGACGTCGGCGAACTTGGCGGCGAGCCCGTCGCCGGTGACGAGCATGAGCGGCCAGGACAGGCAGCCGCCGCCGCTCTGGCAGGACTCGACAAGCTGGAGCGCGTCGTCGAGGGCGCCCCTGAGCCGGCGCAGGATGTTCGCCGCCGTCGCGTCGCCCCTCGCCACCGCCTTGGAGTTGGAGTCCGGTAGGATCTTGGCGACCTGCTGGGCGCGCTCGGCGAGCTCCTTGCAGCTCGCCGCGTTCCGGCGAGCCGTGCTCACCGCCTTCGAGATCGCCTGCACCACTTTCACGATCGCGCCCACCGAGTCCATCTCTTGATGACTTGCTGATCAACGATCACCTGCTGCTTGGTTTCGCTAATGTTGTTGGGTGTTCTTGCAAGAGGTGGAAGACGAGTAGCGCTCAACTTATTGTCATGTTGCCATTGACGGCTGGGCCACACGGAGTTGGTGCTACGACGGCACAACGCTAACGCCAGAATGGGAAATTTAACTATTCGCCACTCTTATGACATGGCAATTAACGATTTGCCACACCCTGTCAATGACATGTGGGCCCTCGTATGTCTATGACATGTGGACCTAGTGGCAAATCGTTAAGCAACATCCGTAAGAGTGGCAAATAGTTAAAAGCCCCCGCCAGAATTGGGGTTGGGATAGTAGGTAATTTTTCGTTTACCATTAACACTTTTATATAAGAGATTTGTTCTAGTCCAATAAAATATATCTGAAGGTATCGATACCTCACGGTACGGTACGAAATTGTTTTCGATGACTGGTACCTCAAGACTCTCTTCGTGTATTTGCATTTTGCCGTGCGATGCAGGACCGTCTCCAAATGATGAGAAAGCTATGACCCGTGATCAAGTATAGTGTTGCATAAGACAAGACACTGTGACGGAGTATTTGGACTGACGTTTACTCACTCAGTGGAAAATCAGTGGGCTGAGTAGAGGATGACTACAAGTCAACGGTCAATGGAGCTTCGGCTACGCGGTGGTTAGTTTTGGTTGCTTGCTTTCCCCGCGGTTTCTTGAGAAAATTTGCAAATTGCCAAGGAGACGGGCATGGAGTAGTTTAACAATTATTCTATTTCGCCACGTCTACTTCAGTGAGGATGATAGGAGTACGGTGCATGAGCTTACTAAAACTAGCAATAATTTTTTTAATAATGAAAGCTTTATTAAGACTCAGGTGGTGTTTGGATCCAGGAACTTAACTTTAGTCCCTGTATTTAGACACTAATTTAGAGTATTAAATATAGACTACTTACAAAACTAATTACATAAATGAAAGCTAATTCGTGAGACAAATTTTATAAGCCTAATTAATCCATAATTAGAGAATGTTTACTGTAGCATCACATGGGCTAATCATGGATTAATTAGGCTCAATAGATTCGTCTCACGAATTAGTCCAAGATTATGGATGGGTTTTATTAATAGTCTACGTTTAATATTTATTATTAGTGTGCAAACATCCTATGTGATAGGGACTTAAAAGTTTTAGTCCCATCTAAACAGGGCCTCAGTTAAATACACAAAGATGATACATTCCAACTGAGCCCACCTCCGGCCTCTGCATAAAATGCACACGGCCAATAAAAGGACAAAACTAAACCCCCATCATGAAACTAGCAATAATTGAGTCCCTTCCATCCCAAACTTCTTAACAACTTTGTAAAGAGAATCATTTTTTTAGAACAAAGCTAATCATATGCTTCCTGTGAAGTTGTACTTGGTGACATCTTACCCACAACAACGCGATGCAGTATATACTATTCTCTCTGTTCCACATTACTTCCTCCGTCTTAGAGGGTAACCATTTTTAAAGTAGGCACTAGTATTAAGAAAATAAGTAGAAATGATTGGAGGAGGGTTGTGATTGGTAGAGAAAAGAAAGCAGGTGAACAGAATGGTTGTGATTGGTTGAGAGGAGAGGGTAGGTGGAGAAATAGCTTTATTTTGAGACAAGCTACTATGCTAGAAATAACTACTACCTCCATATTTTAATGTATGACGCCGTTAACTTTTTGTCCAACGTTTGACCATTCGTCTTATTTAAAAAATTTATGTAATTATCATTTATTTTATTATGACTTGATTCGTCATCAAATGTTCTTTAAGCATGATATAAATATTTTCATATTTGCATAAAAATTTTGAATAAAACAAAAACGTTAGTCGAAAAGTGAACGGCGTCATACATTAAAATATGGAGGGAGTATATTTTAAGACGGAGGTAGTACAAGATATTTTTATCTCTCTCTCTCTCGTCTAGATTCATTAGATGCACATAAATTTAGACAGTAGCATATATATATCTGTTAAATGCATGAATCTATAAAACCAAGAAAATCTTATAGTGTTAAGTGAAAACTCGTTATAGATGGTGTTATTGGCTTTTAGATATACGTTTGACCATTTTATTTTATTAAAAAAACAAACAAATATAAAAATATGGTTGAGGCTTGAACACTTAATGATAAAACAAGTTACGGCAATATTAATAATATTTATAATAACATTTTTTAATAAGATGAACGGACAAACATAGATTTAAAAGTCAACTAGATCTAAATTTAAAAACTGAGAGAGTAAATTTGAGGAGATTTTTTCTGGTTCAACAAAAAGTATCTCGAGGTACAGCTACCGTACAGTACTAAATCCTTTGCAATCATTAGATCTAGCTAGATAGGATAGTCAATGTTAGATCCAACGATCGGAAACGATTTGGTACCGTGAGGTATCGGTATCTCAAGGTACTTTTTTTTTTGATCAAAGTAAATCTCAAATTTGAGTTATATATAATACTCACTTGATATTTTTATATAACTATCAAAATTATTATATATAATTAAAGTGAGTCTGAGGTGAGGTTTGAGCTTCATTTTGTGGGTTCCACTATGCTTCAAAATTGGGGTGGGCCTTCAGCCTTGAAGGGCTTCGTTTGGATGGGCTGAAATCCTGTTTCAAATTTCCGGTCCATATAGGTGGATGGGCTGGATTTATCCCCGTCCAGACGAGGCCTCGTCAGGTTTTGCCACGTAAGCGAATCACTGGCTTCCGTCTTGCCGCCGGTGGGGTGCGCGCCGCCGCCGGCGAGGACGAGGGGAAGCATGGCGGGCGGAGACCGATGCGGCCTAGCGCCCTGGTGGTACTGGTACTCTATGGAGTGGAGCACCTCGGCGATTGAGGAGCTCCCTGAGCACTTGCCCACGCGCCGCTACCCGTCGCCGCATCTCGGCGTCTAGCTGCTGGCGCAGCGATGGCGCGCGCGGCGGTCGGCCAGAGCTAGATCGGCGGAGCCTCCTCCATCTGTGCTCACCAGCTGCAGGACGCGTGGTATGCGCCATGAAGTGGGCAAAGACCGCGGGGAGCGACGCAGCAGAGGTGTTCGGAGAAATGTCGCACTGGCAGTCGGCAGAGACGCGGACGCGGTCGTCGGTCTAGTCCAAGAAAAGGATCCCGCACCTCAACTGCTCATCATACTGGTAAGTCTCGCAGAGTCCAATTCTATTTTTTTTTTCAAAAACAAATGCACAAATGTTTGATCTGCACCATCGAACTCCATATTAACATGCGGGCTGCTTATTAAATTAGAGATTTCGAGTGCGGTAGTAGAAATAGAATTTTGGTTCATTTCCTCTCAGAAAGTGAAACGAAAGCTTCGTGTGAAAAGTATCAGTTGAAAAAAAAAAGCATCTGGAAGCGGTTTTGGTGTTCCAGATCGACATTTCCAAAACCAAAACCGTGTTAGGATTTGGGAGGCCGACCAACCACTATCCGCTATGTTTCTCCACATACCAGAAGTATGAACCATTCAGTAGTGCCATGCATTATCTTCACTCTTAAGTTTCTTGTAGCATCCAGCAAAACACTGTTTTGTGAAGAAAAATACATTTGGCCAAGTTCGTTTGTCAAAGGAAGATTACACGAGCTTTCTTGTCCTTCCCTCACCATATAGGTCAGCTTCTCCGCAAAACGAAACAAACCTTCATCCACCGTTCTTTTCATCCAACCTCTGGAGGTCCAGGCAATGTCTCTACCTCGGCATCACAATTGGGAGGAGAATGATGATGGGGCCGAAGGATTGCGCCGATCACCTCCGGGAAAGCGACCCCGGTGCTCCTGCAGATTTGAGTGAGCTCACTCGTACAATCTTGCCCCTCCTATTTTTTTAGGTTCTCTCATCATTCTTTTTTTTTATCTGTACAGGCAGGATGTGGTTTCATCTCATCCAAATGCTCTTTTACTTGTTATCAAAACTTAGAATTTACAAGGAATTTAGTTGTTCATGCCGTCATTGCAAGTAAACCAATAAGTCCATTTTTCTTGGCTAACCAATTGTATCTTCTTCTGGATAAATTCATCATATGCCACTGTGATTATTTTTTAAAGGAGCTCATTCCCTTACTTGCCCCTTTTCTTTTACATATGCTGACCTCTGATTTGCAAATACGTTTCACCTGCAATCTCCTGGAAGGACAATCTAGCAAAATAAACTTCCCCCACAAAATTAAAAAAAGATGATAGCTATTAAGTTGAACTTGAAACGAAAATTTCTCTATTAGGCTATTAAGTTGAGGAATAGACCTTATTTTTCTTATTATTCTTATTCCAACAAATGATAGTGACAGGCAGATGGAGATGCTTGAGGAGATGCGAAGAATGCTGAAGGGGCAAAACGAGAAGATTGAATCCATGTATAGGGAGAATCAAGAACTCAGAGAAAAGGTTTCCTTCCTAACAGCGGTAATTTTTTTGTTCTTCACTTTCACTTCCTAAAAGCAAAATGCATGCTTAAGCCTAGATGGTGGGTATAAACTTTGTGCCATATGGCCCAATTAAATATGCCTATTTGTTGGGAACCCCTAGAAGTACTTAGTTGGAGAGTCATTGGATTGTTCTGTGCTCAAGAGTTAAGAGGCAAGACACATGCATGACCTCAGAAGAAAAAGTTGGACCCAATCGTTTAATAGTCTACCTCCTACTTAAGATATTTACACTGACACGTGCATCAATTACTTTGTTGTTTTCTTTTTTGTGGAACTAGGTATTTTTATTATTATTGCAGATCAACTTGCTTTTCACATATGTTAAATTATATCTTTTAAATTTTGTTGATAGGATATAACCAGACTTGGTGGTTACCTTCAGCAATCCCCTGCCCCTAGGTTGGTAATATTTGCATGATACTATGAGTCTCTATCTCTCTCTCTCTCTCCCTGGCTTAAAAGTTTTAGAATTGGATATTGAGATACATCGTAGCTTTTGTCTTCTTAAACATTGAGCTATATATTGCTGCAAATATGTTCTCTGGTATCTTAACTAATGCTACAAGTGCGCAACCAATTAAGATGCACATTTTGTTAAACTTATCATTTCTACTTCCATATATTATGTTAAATTTTACATCTATGGACTGACAAATGAATATTTTTGTCTAGAACATACAACTTTGTCTAACTATATTGCAATTGATATAACTGCAAAATGTCCTGTAACACTGTGGCTGCTTTTCTCCTGCTTACCTTTTCTTTTCCTTTTGCTACATCAGTTATTAACCAAAGCATAGACTATCCTTTTCTTGGAAGTCATGACATGACGCCCATTCATCAAATCTCATCTGATGTCTACAGTAATAGTAACAAATGGACAAGTTATTAAGTCATTTAGTAATTACCAACTTCAATACAAAAAAGGTGACTAAATAAAATATTGAAAAGACCTGCAAAGGGTGCTGTTGCACGTGCTTTGTTCACCGAAGGTTCCAGCTACTCTATTGATCTCCAATTCTTTTCTCACTTCTACTTGTTTTAAAAATAAAAAAGAAGTCTTGGCTTTCTTGGTAACGGAAGATAACATCAATTGGTGAAAGGGCTCAGCTTACTTGATTGCCTAATGCGAACCTTGGATTTTTCGCATGGAATCTCTAGTGTCAAAAAGGATTGAATTTTGAGGTCTGAATAATTGCCACTTAAGCAGAGTACTGAAAAGTTAATCAAACTTCCTGTATCTTTACTCCTTTAAATGTTCCTTGTGGTGGTGCCTCACCACCACCACCCACTGATATTTGGGTCCCACATGACCAGTAGTTCCAAAAATCTAATATCTGAAGTAACTGAAGAATTGTCACTGTTTTTCCAGCTGAAGTAATTTATTGTACCTCCCAAGTATATTAAGAAGTTGCATTCATATGTAAAATGACAATTCCTGTCTCATGATGCTTACATGTCCATGGTGCTGTGTTCATCTCATGTGTTCATCTCATTGTTTTTGTGTGTAATTTGTATAAGTAGCTACCATTAACTAAAATTCAGTATGCTACGCATGTGACTTCTTTTCTCTACTTTCAGGATGTTATCTGATCAGAATAGCAGTATGCAACTTCGATTGCAATTTGTGAATTCATGCAGTAACAGTAAGTACTCAACACGTAAAATTGAAGCAGATGACGAGACCCCCCTTAAGGTAGCCATATACGATCATAACAACGAGATCATGACTTGTGAACCATTTTCTTCAATGAGAGTTCACATTGTAGCAATTCATGGTGACTTTGACGATGATCATAAAGGCCACTGGACTGAAGAACACTTTCGTAGTAAAATAGTAACTGGACGACCTGGAAAAGAACATTTATTATCTGGGAAGCTGTATTTTAGGCTGCAAGGTGGTGTGGGTTATCTAAACAGTGCCAAATTCCAAGACAATTCCAGTTTTGTTCCAAGCAAAAGATTGAAGTTGGGGGTCATGGCTGCTGATGAAAGAATCTCTCAAAGAATTCAGGAAGGAATAACTGAATCTTTTGCTGTAAAGGATGTTCGGGGATACTGTGAGTTCATTCTATTTTATTCTAGTATAAGTACTTATTTTCCTCATATGTGCTTCGTTTAAAAATAAACATGTCTATATGGACTTTATCTGCCATGCACAGCCGTTTTGCCTTAGGAACGGCACCGACAGAATCAACTGTAACATCAATTAGTGCTTATGATAACCAATTAACTAGTTTCATGTTGGCCATTTTCTTTTAAATTTCTATCCCTTAGGCTGTAGCTGTGTAGATGTGTAGTGACTCTATGCAGGACATTATTATCCATTCATTCATATGGTGGGGAATAAAATCTGTCATCCCCGCATATGGTGTACTCTTTATCTTAAAGTTTCTCCTAAAGACTAAAGCCCCTTGCCGCTTCAGCCAACAAGTGTTCCATCCAGTGTACAATATCTACCCATAATGATGTAAGGATCAGCATTCTCATTTATCATCCCAGAATTCTTAATTACAAAACTATTTTTATATAAGCTAAATTTGTTCAGTAAATGAACAAAGGGAACTGGAGTTAGTTTTTCCTTTGTTTATGCTGGCAAAATTCTGCACCATGTAAGGATACTCTTCTGAAACTTAGTCATCATCCACTATTTTCACAAAGAACCTTTTCATTCATCTATACTTTTGAAGGATCAAAACCAGGGTAAACTGCATTATTTCTATTACAGAGGCGGTTGAGATTGCTTCTTTCATAGTGGATTCAAAAATTGATATCTGATATCTTTCTTTACAGCAACAAAAAAGAATCTCAATCCATCCCCATGCGATCCTGTATACAAACTGAATAAAATTGCAATGAACGGAGATAGACACAAGTTACTAGAGAAGAATGGTATCAAGACAGTGGGGGATTTTTTGTCTTTCTATGATAGAAGTCCTGAAGATCTGCGTAAAGTATGGTATTGCTTTTTTATTTGTTCTCTGATATGTTCTTGCTGCGACAATCTGTCTAATATCACCCTGTGTAGATTTTGGGAAAGATTTCTGACCAAGATTGGGAAACAATCATTAGTCACGCTCAGAAATGCACTCCAAGACCAGGAATTTACTCTAGTTGCATACAAGAGAGGAATGGGTCTGACGAACATCAGACATTTTCTAAAAGCAATGGCAGTTGTTACCTTAAGGGGTCATGCTCAGAGCAACCAAGCTCTATGCTGCGAAGTAAGTATGGTGTGGTCTCTTTTCAGTAATTGGATCGTTCCCATTATGCCTTCATGGTTTGGTGTGGAAAGATGTTGAATGCAATTTTGTTTGTGCCTTTTTCTGTGGATATCACAAATCATAGTATACTGGTTCCATGAAATCTCACAGAACAACTTGATGTCCAAGTAGTACGCCAGCAAACTTCTTCAGTGTGTAATGGACTTCAATCTGGTGCATCACTAGGGAATCTGCCAAGTAAGTCCAAGTTGCAACAAAGTACTTCGAACCAGAGCGTGACTCCCCGTGGTAATTGGCTTTTTCTTTTTATGGCACATATTTTATGTTGATGGCTTTCATAGGAACTTAACCATCCAATTTTACTCTAATGTTCCACAGAACTTGAGAGCTTCCAAGTTGCCAATGAGGAAGTTTTGTCCATAAGAAATGAGGCTTCGTCAGTTCCATCCATGGATAATAATACCTTAGGAGGGTCTAGCACACAGCAACAGTGTTTTTTGGAACACAACACAACATCTGAATCTGATGGTAATAACTTGAATTGAATTTTCTATTACTGTTTCTTGACAAAGGTTTTCGAAGAAGAGTTTTGATGTTTGCATAACCCTCCCTCTTTCTGCTACAACAGGGAATTCATTCTTACCTGGTAATCCATCCACGGACGACGCCGTCAGAGATCATCTAGCAGAGCTGGAAAAAGCTCTCCTTGAAGATGAGTCATGGGGTGACTTTGATTTCAATGAAGCTTGGGCAAATCCCTACAGTGCAGTGGAGCATAGCACGGGGCTTTCTTCTGTCAATGGAGCACATAATAATAATATTAACCACGGTGGACTTTCAGCTGCCAGTGAAGCAGGCAGTGTAAGCTATGGCGGACTTTCACCACCTGTCAGTGAAGTAGGGAGTAGAAGGTATATGGGGTATTCGCCTTCACCAGCCAGCAAACCCTGGAGCTGCAGGTTCAGGGGACTTTAGCCTGTCAGGGAGTCGAGCTAGCAGAATTAAGAATGCTCACCGCGAACATGGATTAATTAACACCCGGCTATTTGCTTCCTAGGCTCCTAGCTACGTGCATTTTTTTTGCTATGTAAAGTTGATAATGAGGATTTACATATTCTTTCTTTTTTTTTGACGTGATATTCTTTCATTTTGGTTATGTCAAACTTCTTACAGAAAATAAATGGGCATAGTCATCCCTTGTTTCTTCTCTTTCCTCTCTCTTAGCTTCGGTAGCTTCCAAGAACATTGCTGTGCCCACCAAGGCCACCGCCGGTAGTGGAGGAAGGGAGACCACTATACTACTGAGTAGTACAGCAGAAATGCAGAATCCCTTGACGACGACGAGGCCGAGGCGGCGCCCGCGGCGGAGCAGTCGAGCAGATAGTGCAAACAGTCTCGTGCCCTCCACGCCACGCCCGGCCATGGCTCGCGGTCGCCTCAAGCGCTCTTGAAAGAGAGAAGGAGCGAAAGGGCTATGGTATACTGGCATGATTGGTCTTGAGCTCCAAGTGTTCGATGAAATGCCGCGCAAAGGAAGCCCAGTGTCCGTTACTATCCAGTATATTCTTGGAACTCTGTAGCCTGTACCTATTATCAGGTTTTTGAGAAACATTTCCGGGAAAATACGTCAGTTGCAATCATCCATTGAATACACTCTGAGCCCTATGAACCCCGCTTTAATCCTGAAGGATACTGCTGCACAGACATGAACGAGATTCTTAGTTTTAAGAGCAGGGAGAAGGTGTGGGGAAAATACGAAGAAATAGCAGTTGCAGGGCTGCTAAGGTGTCAAGAGAAAATTCAGAACATTCAAGGCCTTTATATTTTTGTTGATCTTTTTTTGTGCTAATGGGAGCAAAACCAGTTAAAATCCGTGCGTCTTCAACTATTCCTTACACCAATCTTCATATCTTCCTCATACTCCTACCTGCAAACAGATGAACAGGAAGAGATTGGGAGGCACCTAACTTAACACTTGAATTCACAGCACAAGCTGAGAGCAAGGGATCCGGGGGTTGTTGGTTCAGCACAGCTGCACAAGTGGACATTAGAAATCAGCAAAAATGATAAGATTTTGTTAGTTGATCACACCACATTGGACCAATGTTTAATTGTGCATGCGCACAAAAGAGAACAGAAGCAAACAGCGTTAATTATTACTACATTATACATTGCCCAATTATTCACATAAGATGTCTCGGGAGCCCACGCTATGCTACCGCCTACCCGTCGCAACGGACGAGCTCGAGCGCCTTCTCTAGATTGGCCACGACTTCCGAAATGGCTGGCCGCTCCTCCCACCGCAGCCGTCATCGCAACCTGCATGATCATGGTGATGAGGCCGCCGATGTCCGCCCCGACCAGCTGCGCCACCGTCGCCGCCTGACCCAGCCCGCCCCACAGTGCCATGGCATTAAGGTCAGGATTCTGTTCCTGCTAACAAACGGATATGGCAAAGAAGAAATGAGGCGGCTGTTGCCGCGTCTTGACATATTAATTTTCATTTCTCAAAAAAAAAATCTTAATTGTCAGCGTCTCACTGACCTCGCTTATTTTTATACTCTAGTTGCCCTTTCTTTTTTCTGGCAAGGACACTAGGTGCTTGTTTTGACCAACATATTTTATAATGAATCATGCTTGCATCTCGGGGAAATAAAAATATGTCCAATAAGTTAATTATGAAATACAATTCACGTTGAGATGAGTGTTAACTGGCGGAAAAAAAATTCACGTTGAGATGAGTGCTAACTGGCGGAAAAAAAAAAGAGAAAGGGCACAGGTAATGGGAATCTATCCCACGATATCACGGTTTAGGGCATGCAACCATAACCAGATTAGCTACTAACCAATCTCATTTTTTATTCAACTACTGTCCAATTGCGGTGTAATTATACCGTAATTACATTCGTGTGAATTTTATTAAAAAAAAATCTTTAGCGATTTATAGCTAGTCCTTCTGTTCTTTTGTCAGTGCAATTCACATCACAAGTTGAGAGCAAGGGATCAGGAGTTGTTGGTTCAGAAGAGCTGCACAAGTGGAGATAAAAAAAATCAGCAAACAAGATCACACCACATTTGTATGTTTAATTGTGTATGCCCACAAAAGAAAACAAAAGCCTGGTCTCAATACAAATGATACGCACTTTGCGTATTTGCGAAAAAAAAACAAAAAGAACTGTTGGGGGATATTATAGGCTTCGATAACCCCTCCGGGGTAACGATACCGAAGCCTCCCCAAGAATATCATCCCTCCTTGAGGTGCCGGAGGGGCGCCGTCCACTCCGAAGGGTAAGCGGGGCCCTGGATCCGTCCACTAGCAAGGTACAGGCCTTGCCTTGCCTTTGGAGGAGAAGGTTGCACGCGGGGCTTCAACATCGTTGAGGGAGGCATTAAATGCCTTACCCACCAACTGTTCGTGCGGCCATGCTGTAGTGTAGGCTCGAGAATACTAGACCCATTATTACTTGGCTGGACCCGTGATTGTTGTTGGCCCATGAGTCTGCTCATTCTTTAGTATGCTCTTAGAGGGTTCACCAGTCAGCTAGTAGCACCAGGATATCTTGTGACCATAGAGCTACAGTTATAATGTCTTACTATGTAGTCAACTTATGGGTATAAACGGAAAAATATGTAGTGCAAATCACAAATATAATGAAAATTTGAAAACTACTGTTTGACCCAAAAATGGATGCTTGAGATTTGTTTACACCACCGAGAGTAAAAATTTTATTTCTAGATTCAACCATTTGTACAAAATTTATCTGGAGTAAACTTTTTAATCTTCATGATGTCAACAAATATTAGACGTTTAACTTTAGATCCAACGGTAATTTTTGAATTTACACTACATATCTATTATACTATTAAGACAGCTTTAAAAGGAGGCACCACGTTCGCTGTGGAGGCTAGAAATTCCCACATTAATCGGAGAAAAAGAGAAAAATATTAACCACTAGATCATAGTAAATTTAGATCTCAAGGGTTGAGATTTAATGAATAAAATTTTGGAAACATATTGTTGTTCCACATAAGCACTATAGAAACGTACATGGTAGCACGTTACAACTCATATTGAGTATGGCGTATAGCAGTAGCATCAGGACACTAGACTCTATTTGGAAAGGAACATAGCAAAAGGAAACAGAACTAGAGTAGGTTTCATGTGAGACATCAGTAAAATAGTTCTTCTGCATATAATCCTATCATTGTTTTTAACGTGATTTACACCTTTCAATATACCAGGCATAAAAAGAAATAAATAATTGGTAAAATAAATAATGGGCACACTAAAAACTAGCAAAAGAACATGGGCGTTATCATCAGATCTAGATTGTTTCTATGTTTCTTTTGCATATTCTTGAAAAAAAATCCTTTTAAATTCAAATTACAAATGTAAAAAACTCAATCCAGATGCTAGAAATTAACACATTAACCGTGGAAAAAAAAAGTCCAAGTAGGAATACAATTTAGAAACAACTAAATTTCGGATAAAAATAAGGAATATTGAAAGAATAATCCATGTAAAATACACCACGAGATTAATTAAAATTTGAAATAAAACAAAAAAATTGAAAGTAGAAAAAAAAGAGAGTTAGAGTAGTAGTACCTTTTAATAATTACTAAAATTTAGAATAAAAAAGAAATATTAAAATAACAATCCATCTTAAACACGATAGGAGATCAATTAAAATTCAGAATACAAAATAAAATAAATTTCGAAATTATAAAAATAAAAATAAGAGTTTGAGTAGGAATATATTTTAGAAAAACTAAAATTCAAAATAACAAATAAAAAATATTGTAACAAGAGAACATCTAGAACACAAAATGAGGTTAATTCAAATTCAAAATAAAAATAAAATAGAAAAACTAAAATTCAAAATAACAAATAAAAATATTGAAATAAGAGATCATCTAGAACACAAAATGAGGTTAATTAAAATTCAAAATAAAAATAAAAATAATTTCAAAAAAGACAATTAAAAAAAGGCGCATCGGACTTTAGAGAAGGTTTTCGTAAATTCGTCCTACTAGGGCTGCGGGAGGAGGGCCAACTGCTCATGTGATGAATAGTAGCAATCGCATGAGGGCAACCCAAGATGCAATTCAAAATAACAAATAAAAAATATTGAAATCAGAGATTATCTATAACACAAAATGAGGTTAAGTAAAATTCAAAATAAAAATAAAATAGAAAAACTAAAATTCAAAATAAAAAAGATAGCTTTGAAAGGAAGTACCACGTTCGCGGCGGAGGCTAGAAATTCCCACATTAATCGGAGAAAAAGAAAAGGAATGTCCAAGTAGAAATACAATTTAAAAAGAGCTGAAATTCAGAAATAAAAATAAGCAATATTGAAAGAAGAGTCCATATAAGAACCCAACACGAGATTAATCAAAATTCGGAATAAAAATAAAATAAAACCCAAAATTAGAAAAGAAAAAGAGAGTCCAACTAGGAATACAATTTAAAAATAACTGAAATTCAAAATTAAAATAAGGAATATTGAGAGAAGAGTCCATATAAGAACCCAATACGAGATTAATTAATATTCAAAATAAAAATAAAAATAAAATCTAAAATTAGCAAAAAGAAAAAAGAGTTCAAGTAGGAATACAATTTAAAATTAACTGAAATTCGGAATTAAAAAATAAGCAATATTAATACTTCAAATGATAGATTAATTAGGCTTAATAAATTCGTTTCGCAGTTTACAGGCGGAATATGTAATTTGTTTTGTTATTAGTCTATATTTAATACTTTAAATGTGTGTCCGTATATCCGATGTGACACGCCAAAAATTTTCACCCCTAGATGTAAACACTTCCTCTCTTTGATCTCAAACTTCTTTAATTAGAACCTTGTCTAGAGCTAATCACATGCTTTTTGTAAATTTGTACGTGGTGACATCTCACCCACTCCGACTCGCTCTAGTACAATAGATTCAAGTGATATACAAATTCTCACTTGACATTTTTATATAATTTTCAAAATTATATGATACTTCCCATCTTAAAATATAAGAAATATAAGGGATACTACATTGTTCTAGATAAAAGTATTCTAACTTTTACCAGGTTTTGTAGAGATAAATACTAACATAATACAACATCGAAGAAGTAAACTAATGTTGCTCTTTTGATAGTCGCGTTGAAGGAGAGAGAGAGAGAGGGGGAAGAGAGATATAGAGAAAAAGAGAAAGTGAACACTAGGAACTAAAATACAAAATGATTATTTAGTGGTGGGTGTTTTTATTTCTTTTGAAAATGATTGGCGGGAGAGGAGGATGCGTCTAGATGGTGGAGATGGAGGGTTCGGGGTTCCATGTTTCCTCCCAAATGGGAGGTCGCACCTGAAACATTCCCCGTAACATAGTGGTATGATTACATTTGTATTCAAAAGTATTTATTTTTTCTAATATTAGTACATTTAGATCCATTAGCTATCAGAAACCATATTTATCATAAACAAATACCAAAATGTATTAGAGAATGCAGGGAGTAGTAACTTATCAATGGCACTTGTAAAAATGAGTTAAGGCTGTGTTTAGTTCATGTCAAAATTGGAAGTTTGGTTGAAATTGGAACGATGTGATGGAAAATTTGGAAGTTTATGTATGTAGGAAAGTTTTGATGTGATAGAAAAGTTAGAAGTTTGAAGAAAAAGTTTAGATCTAAACTCGGCCTAAGTGAGAATCTCTCAAGTGAGATTTGAGCTTAGTTTTGTGGGCCTAGTCCACTAGGCCACTAGGCGTGGAATACATAGGCTTCAAAATGGGCCCGGCTTTAAGCCTTGCAAGGCCTTGTGTGGATGGGCCTTATTTACGCCCGTCGAAACACGTCTGGTTCTGGTTCTGCCACGTAAGCGCTCCACTGGTCGCCGCCGGCGAGGACGAGGGGAAGTATGGCAAAAGGGAAGCGCGCGGCGGCATGGGCGCTGGCGGTGCTCGACGAAGCGGAGCGCCTCGGCGGTGGTTGAGGAGCTCCCGAAGCCTTTGCCATGCTGCCACCCGCCCGCTTCTGGCGCTCCAATGGCGCGACGGTCGGCGCGCGCGACGAGATCGAGCTTGCCGGCTGCGGCGCCTTCTCCTCATTCTCGTTTTCCCACTGCTCTGCTCAACAGGTGGAGGATGCCTGATATGTGGCCATGAAGTTAGAAGAGGACAAGGCGAGGGGGAGTGTCACGATCCGTCAACTCATTCACAGATCAATATCAACACAGGAAGGAACCAATGATCCACAGCAGAAATCACTCAAGTAATTGGGATACAATTGCAAGGAATATAGGAGTGAAGACTAGAAAGGGAAGCAAGGGACTGGTATTAGAGAAGCAGAGCTTGAGATTGGAAGAACAGCAGGAGTGGGAAAGAAATCCGGAGGAGGAGGAGGAAGAAGAGGCAGCAGCCACAAGTTCTATTCATCGATCCCCTTCATGCCTGTTGCTTCTTTCCTTTTATAGTGTATCCTTTGCCTCCCCTCAGCCTCAAGCCAGCCCAATCAACATAGCTCACTTGACAGGCCCAGGCCCATGACATTCCTCCCTCCATGAATTTCGGCTTGTCCCCAAGCCGATACAACACAGCCACCAGGATCCCAAGTCACCCGCACCAGTGATGTTGTATACAATGCCAGTTTATACCTGGCCAAATGGGTCGTGCCAAGCCGGGCCGGCCCGAGCACGGAAGTACTGTAGCCGGCCCAGGCCCGGCACGGCACGCCAGCCTGTGGGCCGTGCCGGCACGGCCCGTTATCCCGTGCCGTGTTTGGGCCGATGCCTCAGCCCGTGGGCTAGCACGGCACGGCACGTTTACTGTAGCGTGCCGGCACGGCACGGCCCAGGCATGGCACGGCCCACCGGCCCATTTATTTTTCCTACGATTTTCTAATTTTTCCCATATATTTCTCATATTTTTTATTTTTTTTCCACATTTTATCCTATTTGTACCATATATTTTATGATATATTTCCTAAATTTTCCTCACATTTATCCTATATTTATCATTTTTTCCTTTATATTATGTTTTTTCTGCCTTTTTTCTTTTTTTTCCCTCAAATTTCAATTTTTATGGGCCACATGTACTAGTGGGCCGGCTACCAGCCCACGTGCCACTACAGTAGCCGTGCCGGCCCGGCACGGCCCAGCACCTTCTTGGGCCGTGCTTGGGCCGTGGCCTTGGCACGTGGGCCGGCACGGCACGGCCCGCTACAGGAGCCGTGCCTAACGGGCCGTGCCCTAGTGGGCCGTGCCGTCGGCGTGCCGTGTCGTGCTGGGCCGGGCCGCCCGTTTGGCCTGCTATATGCCAGTTGCACTTGCTCCTAAAGAATCTTGCCTCTTTGGAATTGAACGAATTTAGCTCTTACCAAATATTTAGGCCAACCATGACTGAATTGATGGGTAGAACAAGTGTTACTCCCCTCATAGTTGTGACCTACAAAATTTGTGATTTGTAAGAACATGTCCTCCTCGTAAGTCCGGCAAGTGAAGCATGTCTCTGAAGATTTTACTTCCAAACTGAGATAGACTGCACCAAGTTTCAGCTGCTCCTTTTGTAACAATAGCTTATATGTCTGTCCATGTTGATTCCAAAGAGTAAACTCAAAGGTACATTGCAACTGCTGTAGCTCTTCATATATACATTTCCAGGAAAAATTTAGCCCTTGCCCTCCTGTTGCACACAAATTGAATACCTCATTTCTCCAAAGCGAAGGAGGAGCCAAAGATTGCAAGTTGACCAACTTTTTTGTTGAGACAATAATTCCCTTCAACGAAACCTCTAGCTCAACCATAATATGAACTGGGAAGAGAATCGGCTGTGGCCATGGTTGTGGCACCAACAGCACAGCATCACCATTGTTTGATCTGAATTGAGTCCATGAAGTATCACCTATTACGCCATTGTTTTTGCTCTGAACCTGAAATGGAGTTGGAACACTGCAGCACCGAGCATGGCAGTTGGTACTTCTCTCGGGTGACTTGCAAGTACAAATACCATCAGCATTATCACAACTGAATAAGCAATCACACCATGCATCAGGTGACAACTGGGAAATCAGCATCAGCAGCAAGAACAATTCATGATCCCCATATGCCCAACCATAGGTTGAATGATGTGTGTGCTGATAGGCCTTCCTAAAGGCACCAGAGAGACATATCTCATGCCAAATACACCATCCAACCATCAGATTTTGCAGCAAGCCCTCAGTGGAATTAATTGTTCTACTCATGAACTGGGCAACACTGTAGTTCAAGGAGACTTGATGAGACTCACCATATAAATTCAGTGTTTCAATTTCAGCTTTAACATTTGTTTGAATAGGTGGCGGCTAGAGTTGTAAGAGCTTTACCACCACGCCTCCGCTGCCTTGACAAAGCTGTGGATCAGGCCATGGTAAAGGCCGAGAACCTGAGGTCATCTCAGCTTTGTTCCATGGAATTGCTGCTCTCCAAGGTGGTACCGGTGGAGGGCTAGCTGTGTATTCTAAGCTCCGGTCAAAGCAACCATAGAGTACTTCCAATTTCGATGAAACGAAAGAGAGGCCTACAACTCCAAAGTAGGCACGGCTCAAGCACCAACTCCAGTTCCTGGGAGGAATTGCATTGATGATTAAAAATGGATCTCTGAAGCATAAATACATAGCGGTGAACATGGTATCCACTTCCATGAGCTCCATCCACTCCTCCTTGGCCATGTCTTTGCCATCATCATCATCAGCCAACTGGTTCTCACACTTCATTGAACACTCGATGGTTGTTCCCATGCCAAGCTTGGCTGTGTCAACAAGGTTAGTTGAGCCGGCCTCTGTACTGACCTTGGTGTCGCGAAATGCCTCTCTAGCATCCGATCGATCTTGGTGCACAGGTCTTGAATGGTCTTGTCTAAGTTCTCCACCACCTTGTCCATGTCAGTCTCAGCCTTCTTGGTCTCGTTGAAAGGAACCGATGTCACCATGGCTGCTGATGTAATTGAGGGTACAGATGAAGCTGTAGTAGCAGGGAACACGCGTTCTGGTGCAGCAGCAGTACTCTTGGCCACTGGCCTTGCGGTGGCGCTACTTGGTACCATCGTCGAACAGGTGGTGTGCGTGGCGGTGGCGCCATCTCCAGGGAACATCTGGACGTGCTGCACATCCAGTAAGCAACCCCCGTCGTAGATGTCGCGACCGTGGGTGGCAGACCGAGCCCTCTCCGCGTCATGGCTGGACATGAACGACACAAGAGCCTTGACTTGCCATGTGCTCACCGCAAGAACCTGCACCGCCACTGCTCCATAGGTATCGTACACTTGATGCAACACCTCAGATGTCACTGGATATATGATCTGGCTCACAGTGACGCGAAGGACAGCAGCTGAGTCAGCTCTTGGACAGCTCGACATTTCATCGAACAGGTGGTGGGCATCTCCTCCAAAGACACCACCACCAAGTTGTTGGCTGTTCCTCTGACCACCAGCGCTCTCCCACTTCATCTCCACACAAGAAACCCCACGAATCGACTGCTTTGATACCATATTGTCACGATCCGTCAACTCATTCACAGATCAATATCAACACAGGAAGGAACCAACGATCCACAGTAGAAATCACTCAAGTAATTGGGATACAATTGCAAGGAATATAGGAGTGAAGACTAGAAAGGGAAGCAAGGGACTGGTATTAGAGAAGCAGAGTTTGAGATTGGAAGAACAGCAGGAGTGGGAAAGAAATCCGGAGGAGGAGGAGGAAGAAGAGGCAGCAGCCACAAGTTCTATTCATCGATCCCCTTCATGCCTGTTGCTTCTTTCCTTTTATAGTGTATCCTTTGCCTCCCCTCAGCCTCAAGCCAGCCCAATCAACATAGCTCACTTGACAGGCCCAGGCCCATGACAGGGAGCGACGCAGAGGTGTTCGGCGAAATGCCGCACCGGGAGAGATCGTGTTCGTAGAGATGCAGATGCGGTCTCCATCGAATCTACAGTTGTCAATCAACAGTCGGCACATATGTGGTAAGTCTCGCACATCCCCAACAGTTTCGTTTTTTATTTGCCCATTTTGTTTGAACCCACTAAAATCAATAGAAAAATATTACGAATATGGGGCTTCATGCTAAATTCCATTGGGATATATACTTAGGTGTTTTCTCGGGAAATTGAAACGAAAGCTTCATCTGAAAAGTATCAGTTGTCAAAAAAAAAAAAAAGAAGCATCTAGAGACGGTTCCGCTTCAATTTTCCAAAGCCAAAACCGTGTCGATCTTCTCTCCAATCTCCACGCGGACGCGGTAGGCGGCTTGGAGGTTGATCTCCTCCAATAAACGGTCCATTTAGGCCAGGTTGAAATACAGGGAATCAAACGCACCTAATGCTTCCCTGCTCCACATTGACTCAGTAGTGAGGTACTGCTGTGCAACGGCTGAAGTTTCATGGAACATTCACGTGGATCATTCTCTCTCTCTCTCTCTCTCTCCTTCTGAAAAGAAAGCTGTCAATGGTGTGAATTGCAAAAATCTAGGAAATCCGTGCATCAAAGGAAGATTACACGAGTATTCCTGTCCTTCCTGTTCAAATTTCCAAGAAAGAAAGGTATCCCTTGTCATGTCCTATATCTAGCACTCCAGTGAACTGCAAGAAGCCCCATCGCACCACAGTACCACACTTGCAATCCTCTCTCTCCATCTCCCCCAACAGCCCTGGGCAATGTCTGTAGCCCTGCCTCAGGATCATGAGGAGAATGACGACGAAGGATCACAAAGATCACCGCCTGCGAAGCGACTGCGGAACTCCTGTGATTTCGAGTGAGCTCACTTCTACAATCTTGCTTCATTTATGTTTCACTTTTGCAGTATTTTGTTTGATCTAATCACAACACACTCTCCTTTATGTGCCATATGATGTTCGTTGATGTAAATTCCCCACCCCCCCCCCCCTCCTCCTCCTCAGATTAATCTGCTTGGTAAAGGGAAAGCGGACCAGGATTTAGTTTCTCCAGTTTATCTTCATCCAAACTCAGCAACTTGTGTTGGTGGTTCAATATGCAAAAACCACTTTTAGCCTTGTGTTCGGAACTCTGGTGAGTTCCAAGTTGTTTTCTAGACAATAACCATGTTTGTTGGTCACGCCTCTCTATTCTTAATAAAATTGACCATGCCTGTCTAGTGAAAAAGAAGTAAGTCAGTAAATCCCTCTCCTGAGAACAGCATCGTAGCCTAGCGGCAGGGAGTTGCCAGGTGCTCATGCCAACCTTGTGTTCAAGTGTGTCTCAATCCATATTTTCTCACTATCTTATTCCCTCCCTCTATAAATAAACCCTTCTCTACTAAGAAAATCGGTTATTTATAATCTATATGTGATTTATGTAAATATAATAATTTAAGGGAAAATGGTACATATTGCAGTAGATCCACCTTTAGGCTGCGGTCGAACATCCTCTTTCCCAACTTCTACTCTCTCGTTTTCTATGCGCACGCTTCCCGAACTGCTAAATGGTACTCCCTCCATCCTATAATATAAGAAGTTTTAGAGTTGGACACGGTTATTAAGAAAGTAGGTAGAAGTGAATGGTGAAGGGTTGTGATTGGATGAGTAGTGGAGGTAGGTGGGAAAAATGAATGGTGGAGGGCTGTGATTGGTTGTGAAGAGAATGTTGATGGAGAAGTTATATTCTGTGGCAAATCTTAAGAGCTAAAAGTTGTTATATTTTGGGACAGAGGGAGTACGTTCTTTGCAAAAATGTTCTATAGGAAAGTTGATTTAAAAATCATATTAATCCATTTCTCAAGTTTTTTCGCTAATACATAATTAATCATGAGTTAATGAGCTACCTTGTTTTCCCTGCGGGAGAAATGGGTTACGAACCCACAGATTCAAACACAGCCTTAGTTTGCATAGAAGAAAGTATTGCAAAAACACTTCCCAATAAAATGGGCACAATATGCTGTGAAATGAAAAAAAAAACAGATGATGACTACCTGTGGGCTATTAAGCTAGCCTAGAGAGGTAAGAAATTGAGCTTATTTTCTTTCGCTTGCATGGCAGTGACAAGCAGACTGAAATGCTCCAGGAGATTCTACGGATGAATCGAATGATGCAGCAGCAAAATGAGAGGATCAAATTAGTGCTTAGGGAGAATCAGGAGCTGCGAGAAAAAGTTTCCAGCCTAACAGCGGTAAGAGCTTAATTTGTGCTTCCATCCCATAGAGCAAAAATGTATGCTTCAGACTTCATGGTTGGGATGATATGATTCCAGAGCTTTCCGATATGAAGAAGTTCATTTATGGACTTGAACTTCCACATCAAACCCCAACTTTAAAATCTTGAACTTCCTTTATAAAAGAAAATTATCTTGAACTTTCAAAATCATTCACTTTTCAACCTTAAGCTGAACTTAGAATGGTTGAAATGTCCAGTTTTGAAATATAAAGTTGATTTTAAGACTTCCATGAAAGTTAAGGATGATAAAATGAACTTCTTCCTTTACAATATTGTTTCTGTTAGATACAATATATGAGATCTTGAAAAGTAGTTTTTGGATAGTATTATGTGTGCTCAGTTCTTAAGTAGCAAAATTTACATATTGTTTGATCTCAAAAGGATAGGAGCCAATAGATTAATGAACTACCTTGTACTTAAGATATGTCATATGTTAACTGATGTATATCAAATTTGAGGTTTATCAGAATTTATACCAATATTGTTGCAAATTAATTTTGCATTTTACGTCTAGAAAGTGATGCTCTTTAAACTCTATTGGCAGGCAATAAGTGAAGTTGTTGGTTACCATAAGCGAATCCCTGCGCCTAGGTTGGTACTTGGTAATATTGGCATTAATACATTTTCCTTTGCTTCAAGTTTTTCGGTTGTACATGGAGTTACAACATACCTGCTTTAAGTTTTTGAATTGTACATGAATTAAGAAAAGTTTTGTGCTATTTTAACTAATGTTATGATGTTAGTTAACAGATGAAGAAGCACATTTCGTTCAGTTTTTCATTTTGTAGTTTCACATATGTTGAATTTGCACCTATAAACTGACATAGTGTCTATCTCTTTTTATAGAAACATAATGTTTATCTCTGTTGCAAGAATATGCAATTTTATTTACTTTGCTGTAAAGGACTAAAAAACATTGCATTATCTTTCCAGCTTTCTTTATTTTGTTTTTGCTATGTCAGTTGTCAATTGACTAGATATTTTATCCGATGTTGAAACAAAATAAGATTATATAAATAGTGAAGTCATCTTCTGAAGGTTAATCGTTTGGATTTCTGTTGCAAAGAGGTGGAGTTAGGGAGGTTTGGAATGTACTAGCCACAAATCGGGATGTTGTCACACATGCTGTCATTATTGTGGGATTGAGCAACCATGATGATCTTAATTTATTTATGAAGTCCTTTCTTTAAAGTCTTAATTGGCTTGTTTGCCTATTGGGGAGGGTTAACTTATCAAAGGGTTCAGCTTGCTTGGTGGCCTAACTTTACCCATCGTGTTCTACTAGCAAGGCTCTCAGTGAAATGACATCCAAGGCTCTCACATGTTCTCGAAAAAGTGCTAGCTAAAATTAAACCGGGCACCTTTTTTCTCAAGAAAGTAGCAAGTTAAGAGTTGAGGGAAAAGAGAACATCTAGTCCATCATATCTCATTCTCATATAGTCACGTGCATATATGGGATACCTGTATTGCTCTGTGTTATTTTTCTTTGTTTCTTTGAGTACACATAAGTAACTGCCATATATTAAAGTTCAACACTGTATGTTTATGATGTACTTGCACTATTTTTTAGGATGTTACCTGATCAGAACTGCAGCGAACCACTTCGATTACAATTTGTGAATTCATGCAGTAACGATAAGTACTCAACACACAAAATAGAAGCAGATGACGAGAGCCCCCTTCAGGTAGCCATATATGATCGTAACAACAAGATCGTAACAAGTGAACCATTTTCTTCAATGAGAGTTCAGATCGATTGTAGCCATCGATGGTGACTTTGATGATGATCATAAAGGACAGTGGACTGAAGAGTACTTCCGTAGTAAAATAGTACCTGGACGACCTCAAAAAGGACATTTGCTGTCTGGGAAGCTGTATTTTAGGCTGCAAAATGGTGTGGGTTATCTCAATGCCAAGTTCCAAGACAATTCTAGTTTTGTTCCAAGCAAAAAGTTCAAGTTGGGTGTTATGGCAGCTGATGAAAGAATCTCAGAAAGAATTCAAGAAGGAATAACTGAATCTTTTGCTGTGAAGGATGTTCGGGGATACTGTGAGTTCACGCTATTCTATTATATTTTTAATACTTATTATTTTGCTCCTCTGTGCTGATATCTCTATCATGTACATGAACATCCATTAACCTGGAAGGTGCAAACAGAATGAGTAGTAAGAACAATTTAGGGATCACGATAACTAGTTGGTAACCCATGTGAATATTTCATATTTTATCAATATGTAAAACCTGTTTTTAGATACTTAAGAACCTTTAAAACTTGGCCACCATCCATTTATTTTACAGAAAAAACATTTTCACACATCAATATTTTTCAAAGGATAAGAGGCAGGATAACTACATTGAATGTCTTTCTCTGCAGTAACAAAGAAGAATCCCAATCCATCCCCACGTGATGCTGTATATAAACTGAGCAAAATTGCAAAGAACGGTGACAGGCACAAGTTACTAGAGCAGAATGGTATCAAGACAGTGGAGGACTTCTTATCTTTCTACAACAAGAGTCCAGATGATCTGCGTAAAGTATGAGAATGAATTATTAACACTGTTATTTTGCTATCTAATTTGTTCTCATATACAATATCACCAACAGTTCCTCCTTTTGTTCTCTTTTTAATCCTCCTTTTCTTTTCTTTTTAATGTCACCCTATGTAGATTTTGGGAAAGATTTCTGATCAAGATTGGGATTTGATCATTAGTCATGCTCTGAAATGTAATCCAAGACCAGGAATTTACTCTAGTTGCCTTCAAGAGAGTAATGTGTCTCATGAACATGAGGCATTTTTTAGAAGCAATGGCAGCTATTACCTTCAGGGATCATGCTCAATGCAACCAAGTCATACATCACAAGGTAGGTTTGGACTGGCCTCTCTTGAGTAATTTGATTGCTTCCATTCGCCATTCATGGTCTGCTGCTGGAGGTAGTTCCTTGTTTCTGTGGATATCCCAATGGAGGTTTATTGATTCTTCAAAAACTCACAGAACAACTTGATGTTCAAGGAACTCGCCAGCAAATTTCTTCAACGTGTAATGGACTATCATCCGGTGGATTATCAGTGATTGTGCCAAATAGGTCCAAGTTCCAACCAGACACTTCAGACCAAAACTTGATGCATCATGGTAATTGGCCTTTTTCTCTGTGGTGTGTATATTTTGTATGTCATCAGTTTTAAAGGTAGATTTGCTCTGAATTTTCTGCAGGACAACTTGAGCGTATCCAAGTTGTCGACCGGCAAGTTTCATCGGTAGGAAATGAGGTTATGTCGGTTTCATCCATGGATAACAATATGTTAGAAGTGTCGAGCTCACAGCAACAACATTCTTTGGGGCACATCAATACGGCTGAAATTGATGGTAGCAACTTTATTTCTGTGGCACTTTTTGTTAGTTAATGTTTTGGAATAATAGTCTGATGTTTGCATGCTGTCATATTTTTCCATTAGGGAATGGATTATCACATGCTAATCCATCTGATTGGAATTCGTCGTTGGACTGGATTCATGGCCACGCAGATGTGCAGTTGGAATCTATGGTAAATGCACAGAGGAGAGAAAATTTGCTGAGTGAATATGTGGGGCGGGGGGAGCATGATTTCACGGGAACTCCTGGCTCAGGAGGTTCCTGCAGTGCAGCTGAGCAAAACTGGGGTCATTCGCCTGTCACTGCAGCGGAGCAAAACTGGGGTCATTCACCTGTCAGTGAAGCAGGTAGCATGAACTACAATGGGGCTGTCAATGAAGCAGGCAGTTGGAGCCACAGGGGACTTCCTCCTTCACGGGCCGCAGGCAGTAGGAGACACAGGAGACATTCATTTTCACCTGCCAGGGGAGCTGGCAGTAGAAGACACAGAGAAGCACGCAGTAGCAGCTACGGTGAACAAGTCTTTGGAGAAGCCAGTAGCAGCGACTGCTTATGGTTTACCCCACTGCCGCCTGTCTTGTTTTCAGACAATATCAGCAATACAAGTAAATATTTCACGGATGAAGAATAATATACTTCACTCTTCTTAAAAATATATATATATATATATATACTTCACTGATGAAACGGGTGATGCATGCCTTTATGCCGCCGTTTATTCAGAAGGTACTCCCATCGGATTGCTTGTATTCAGTTCAACTTTAGTGCATATTTGGATGTTATTAGTATATTTACAGACCATAGCTTTCAGTACATTTTATGCATACCATAGTTATATTTTTGCTTTGAGAAAAACCAAGGCGTCTAAATTTAGTACAATTCTATGCACTATTTCATTGGAAAGCAACCTGTTGGTGTGGCTCTGACCTCTGATCTGTGACCAACAACCCTGTTTGTTGTTCTTGTTTGTTCCTGTTATTTCCATGGCAATGATGACGTTTTTTATATAATGCCGTGCATTCCTGGTATGCTCTTCTCTCTCTTCTGGAAATCTACATATGTCCAGTTTCAGAAACGAGGAAGGTGCCTAAGTTGGAATCATTCCCCGTGTTAATTTTCAGAGTTTCTTCAAGCAGAGACAGTTTTTAGACTTGTACAGTGCCTGGAAGCTATTCTGACTGGATTTTTCACATTTTAGTCTTTTTGAAAAACTTATCCTACAAATAGGCCTCTAAAAAAACTTATTCTAGAAATGATCTTTTTCGCGGCACCAATGTCATTGGCGCCGCGAAAAGGAATAAGTTTTTTTAGGGGTCTATTTGTAAAATAAGTTTTCTAAAAGAATCAAAATGTGAAAAATCCAGGCTATTCTGAATCAATTTCACTCCTTGAAAACTTGCTCATCCATAAAACACCAGCCTAACCACATCCATCATCTTGAACCAAAACAGCAACTGTTTGTTTGAATTGACCACCAGGCACTAATCATCTTTGGCACAAGAAGTTGCACAGCAGAGAAGGGTAAAAGAGATGACTCTTGACTCGGCAAACCTAACCAGACCCCATGAACGACAGCCAGCAGCGAGGAAGCAGCGAGGAGGAAAAACGAGCGAGTATTCCTCACCGCGTTATATCACTCCTATACTGTATTATAAATCGAATTCACAAGCACGCGTTTAGATCACTTGATCACTTGCAAGTTCATGCACGCGTAATTGTCATCGCCATCGTACGTCTTCCTCCTCCTCTGCTTGTGCTACACCTCGTGCATCCACCGCGTTTTGCTTGGATCCCAGCAAAGCTACCTCCTCGAGCTCCGGCAATGTCGCTCTCCCGGCCTGGTCGGCGCAGGGAGGAGGAGAGCGATGACGGCCGTGTTGGTGGTGAAGGCAAGCGACCTCGGCTCTGCTCCTGTTGCCAGTGAATTCGGTCCCCTGTTCATCAGTTGTTTCTTTCATCTGTCACCATCATATGCTTCAATTTATATTCTTTTGTGAATATTGGAATAATAAAGATCCATGCTGAATAAACCTATAAAAGAATTGAAAGAGGGGGTTAAACGGCAGAAATAAAATATTTAGAGTTACCAAGCAGATAGATCGAGGGTTTTATAACAAGTCCAGCAAAAAAAAAAGAAAGAAAACTTATGCATACAAGATGTTCAGATTAGTTAAGAAAGTCTTTAGACAATTAATTCGAGGGAAAATCCAGGAGTTTTGATGCCACTTAGGCATTGTTCGGTTCCTTGGGATTTAATCCCCAAGTGGAATATATCCAGGAAGGGATTGAGTGAATCCCTCCCATGTCACTCAATCCCTATGGGGGTTGGAATCCCTTGCTCTCTCTTATTCCCTGTCTTAAACCCTATGTTCGTTTTAGCTATCAAAATCTGATAAATTGAAAGAGCAGAATAGACGTGAACTTAGGTTGGTTGGCCCCCGCGTCGCCTCCCGCATGGGCGACATGGGCGGCGGAACCCTAGCCGCCGCCGTCGCCCCACCCCACCTCTCACCCCTGCCTCGCCGCCGCTTGAACGAGTAGCCAGCAAAGCTGGAGGCTCACGAGGATGGCTGCGGCGACCACCACCAGAGCAGGCGCGGGCATCCACGGTGGAGGCTGGCCGGAGCAACGCCGACGTCGAAGCCTGCGCTCGGGAGGAGGCGGAGGCGGGGAAGGAGGAGGCCGGCGAGCTCGGGCAGCCGGGTCTGGCGCCGCTAGATCAGGCGGCCGGCGCGGGACAGCGCCGCGGGCGGCGAGGAGCGGGGGCACGGCCGGCGGCCCGAGGTCGGTGTAGGAGGGGCCGGCGTGGACGTGCGGCTGGAGGCGCGACTGTCAGCGCGGAGGCCCGCGCTCCTCGGGATGGTGGCGCGGCGACGCGTAGGCCGGAGCAGCAGAGGCGCATAGGCCGGCGTGGAGGCTGGATCGTGGGGGGGGGGGTGCGCCGGAGCAGGAGCGGCAGCGTTTCCAGCGTCGGCGCAGGCCCAGATGGTAGTGCAAAGGGAGCTGGCGGCGGTGGGTCGCCTTCCTCATTGCCGGTTGTCACCATCGCCCTTCTTGGAGCTCCTCCCTTCTTTGCGGGGAGTTTCTAGGTTGGATTGAGGCGGCAGGTTGTCAGCGGGGGAAGCTCAGGATGTCGAAGCAATGCCACCTAGTCCCGGGTTTTCCTCCGGCCAGATTTGGCAAGGAGGCCGGCGGGTGGTGGAACGGAGGGGGTCCTAGGCCAACTTTCAGGGATGGTGGTTCGATGAAGTCGGCCGACGGTGGGGCGTCGGTGCGGTGTGGTGGCAGTCTTGTCGTTGGCAGGACTGGAAACTGACCGACGGTGGGGCGTCGGTCGGGTATGGCGGAAGCCATGTGCCGCCGATGTTTAGATGGTGGTTTCGGATTGGGCGACGGACCATGGCGGTAAGGGGTTCCAAGCGAAAGCTTAGCCCAATTTCTTTGGGCCAACAGTGACTACGCCTTCAGGCGTGGTAACCCTCCTGAGGGTATTGTTGAGGTACCCCTCCTCCCTTGGCAAGGAACTATGGGTGAAAACCTTGTCCAGCTTTGGACGGATGATGACAGCGTCTTTCGGCGTCGCAACCCTCGTGAGGGCGTCGTTTTAGAGTCTTCGTGTCGTAGTGGTGTTGTTGGCTTGGTGGCGATCGGTCTCGCATAGCGATGGCCGGTTCGGTGCTTGGCTTCCCTTTCTATAGCGTGTGTTTGGACGGTTGACACATGGTTCGGGGCGTGTGCTCTGGTGCACATCCTTCCTCGACAGCCAGCTGTCAATGTAAAACTTTTCTTGTAACCTTTTCTTCCTATCTTAATTATATTGAATGACCTCCTTCGGTCATTCCAGCAAAACAAAAAAGAAAAGAAAGAGCAGGATAAAAGCCATATAGTAGTAGTTTGCTTCTCCTAATCCATAGAAATTTGCTGCTGAGCAACAACGGAATACATACAAGTCATTGTCAATAAAATCATCAACACAAACTGGGTGTCCAGGTGCTACTAAAAATCCAAACAAACGAGCATTGGAACTCAGATACATCACAAACTAAAAAGGTCTAATATGAGTGGCATGAGCTGAGCAGCAGGAGACGCTATAATGATGCCCTGACTTTCACCATGCTGTCTGAAGTAATAAATCTTCGGGAACTTCAGGAAATTGCTACCATCAAATAAATTATCTGGAATTTCCATACCAGTCGATTTCAAGGAACCTACAAAGCACAAGAGTAAACATCAGCTTTCCTATCTCACAAACAGATAAAAAGAAACAAAACTTTGGTTAATGAATTTGCACAAAACCTCCATATTTTTAACCTACTACCCACCAATTCCACTTTTTTCCCTTCTACTCTCTCCGTTTCACAATGTAAGACTTTCTAGCATTGCCAATATACATATAGATGTTAATGAATCTAAACACATACATATGTCTAGATTCATTAACATCTAAATGAATATGGGCAATGCTAGAAAGTTTTACATTGTGAAACGGAGAAAGTAGCAGACATAATACAATGGACAATATATAACATCTTGAAGTCCATTCAGATGTTAATCCAAACTAATTATAGATGTTAATCTTGAGATGTTTGAATTTTCACAAGATGCAGAAATCATGTATAACAGATAGATAGATATATGGCCAATGCAGAAATCATGTTAATCTTGGAGTTGTTTATCTTGACTTGTCTGCATTTTCAGAAGATGCAGAGATCATATATACTACTTATATAGATATACAATAAAATAATAATTGTCAATGCACGGCTACATGTTTTTTGACTTTGTATTGTAGTACAGAGAAATGGAGACTGCTATGTTATCTAGCAGCTACAGGCAAAAGGTAAAAAGGGAAAGCAACATGTATACTGTACTACTTACTAATTTACTATAGATAAGTATGGTCAAAAGAGCTAACACCAGAACTGTATGCTCCAATGATATTAATAAACCATAGGGATCAGGACCTTCAGTAATTAAATTGCCATGGTCAACATTTATGAAGAACACACTTCAGTAATTAAATTCAAATGAAAAGTAAACAGTGGTAACTATGGCTGAGGAATTATACTTATCCTTAAGCAGGGAACAATCTTTGTGCATGGCATGTAAAAACTAGGATTTGCATCAGTGTAGGATACATACAAGTGTTTAGGGTATCTAGAGAAGAAAAAGAACTTGTGGACAACTCAAAGTTATGCACAAGACATGAACTAGGATCATCGTCAACTTTTGGCATACTTAAACATGTTGGACATGACATGAAGTAGAATCTGCTTCAGTAACTAGAGCAGTATATGTAAACTAAAAAGAGCAGAGCAAGCGCCATCTGAACTAAACTTGGTGAGTACAGAAGTTTCCAAGTTGTAAACATTTTCCTCAAAAAAAGACACTTGATGATGCATGCATATATGTGAACTAAAAAGAGCAGACCAAGCACCATCTGAACTAAACACGAGAAAGAAACTACCTCAGCAACATCAGTTTGAGTAAGTCAGTTACCTCATGGTGGGGGCAACATTCAGTGTGGTTCAGAGAACTTAATTTCATTTTAATGAACTGGATGGCCCTACTTTTTCTTAAAGTCACTTAACATATTCAAGATCTTGAATAATTAAAGTGATAGCTAGGCAGACAGGATACAATGTCATTCCAGCAGCAGATGGCACTAGTACAGGAGTTTCTGTCGATCAAACAAAAAAGGCTAGCTAAGCAAATCAATCAGATGGCGCACAACATCATGGTCAGCTATTCAGTAGCATCGCGAATTTTAGTTGACAAGATCGTGTCAGACTGCGGTCAGCATCGCCGCCAAGAACACGGTCCTCCTCGCTGTGCAGACATTGGGGAAAGCCACCGGAGGGGAAAGCGCAGCGTCGCGGTCGCCTCCTTGTCTCGTCCGTCGGTCCGTCGCCAACTAGTCGCGCAGCCGCCGCAATGTCCCTTC